GCATATATACATATGTATATTATGTTTATATGAAGTGCGTTTCCTATGCTTCGCGCATTAAGTACGACTTTAAAAGGCTGCTCGGCGTTCGTCTTTGAAGCGTAAATGCTGTTAGTGTACAAAATTTGATTTGAGCCTATAGGTTGAGCGCAAGAAAACAAGACATACGGGCCGATAGACGGACAAGCTTACATCGATTCAGAAAGCGATTCTGAAATGATTTCGAAGCTAACTGAATTCTGAATCGATCGGTATATTAAAAAAAGGTGAATTTATCTGAAATCCTTCTTATTCCTAACTTTCTTCACTTTACTATTTATTTATTATAGAAAACATTTTTTTTTTTTTTTTTTTTTTGCTTTTGCGTAGATTGATCTAAGGAAACGTGAAATAATATAGAATAAACGGGAAAACAGTCAATTTGGGGAAAAGTCGTTTCAAGTCGCTCTTAATGCACTCTTAATGTAATTATATATATATATATATATATATATATATGAAATGCACTTCATAGTAAGAATTTAATGTAATTGTTACAAAAAATTAAAAACTTTATATATCTTTGTGTAAATATAAACGCATATATATGTGCGTACCTATATATAATATGTCATTCAATAAATTCATAGGATAAATATTAATGCGATTTTTAAATAGAGTACCAACCTTTAAACGAAACATGCCATAATTCCGATAAGATTCTGATTATTAATTTGCAATGAGATTAGTTTTGTTTTGAATTTGATTTTCATACGTCGTAGCGTCATTTCGTTGCATTTCCTTTGAAAGTTGGTACTATCGATATCTATCAAAACTATCTAAATTCGTCAATGTTCATTTTACATCATTTATGTCATCCTACGAACTTATTGCGTTATATTTATCTAAATATAAAAAAAAAACCAAATATGATATATGAAAAAAAAATTTTACTGGATCAACTAAATGTTGCTGAAGCTTAACAAGAACAAAAAATTATAAACTTTTTTAAAAGTCGTCCTAATATAATTAAAAAAAGCGAAATTTTAAAGCACACACATATATCATGTCAAAAACAGAAAACTGAACCAAAATAATAATAATTTTTAAAAAAAAATTTCTTTAAAAGGACGTCTTTAGTATAAGTTTAATTTTTTATTTATTTATTTATTTAATTTTCTTTAAAGAGTGCATATTAATTACTTAGAAATTATTTTGCCTTTAAGCCCCAAATTTTGCTTGCATTTTTTTTTTTTTCTTTTTATATATATATACATGTATATATATATATATATGTATATATATGTAATTATGTAATTGCTACTTATTTGGCCTTTTTATACCCATCATCAAGAAATGGAGGTGTACTGGATTTATCATTCGATCGGTGACGCTCAAAAATACTCTTAACAGAGCCTATAAATTTTATATAAAACAAGCTAATCTTCACTTCACGAGTACCTCTACTAACTTACTCCTCGTTCGTTACGAGCATCACATCAAAATGGGAATATTTTATCATTACAGTTTATATGTAATTTTGAGTCAACTTGTTCACGTCTGTCTGTCCATCGATTTATTATTTAAATTATTATCATAGGTATTCAATTCCGTATCGACAATGTGACTCCTACCTCCTCCTTCTTAATTGATATTCGGACATGTTTTAATAAATTTGATTGATTGACCTAATAAACACTTTCACAACAGACAAGACCGCCAAACAAATTTTGAAAAAAGAGTCAAACATTTCTATACAGATAGATGGATATGTTATCAATTCTAATCTATAGGTTATAGTATATAGGGTTTTTTGTTTCAAATTTAATTTGATTTTTCAAAGCCATTTAAAATGGATTGCAAACATAATTCCGTTCGGGAACTGGCATCTCGTCACTTAGTAACACTTGTTTGCTATGGTGGGTACTCATAATTCGCCACATTGGCGAGTACTTACGTTTTCTTACTTGTTCTCTATACCTTGCATTCTAAATATTTCAAAAAAAAGAAAAAAAAAAAACGTTTTTTTCTCTACTACCCTTTCTCATTACATTCTTACTTATTTTATTTTCATATTTTGCTTTGTTTCTGTCATACACTTTTTATAACAAATATTTAAAAAAAATTTTTTCAACTCTTACGCTTTCTCGTTTCTTATAATCTTATGATAAAAATGAACAAAAAAAAATTATAAAATGAGTTTTATATGCGCGTATTTTATACGGTTTTTCTGAGATCCTTCTATTCTTAACACGGTGAGTGAGTCCTTTGACAATTAACGTTTATATATATGGTTTGAAAGTAACTTTTTTTTTTCGAATATAATTTCACTTCAATTAACTTTCTTCTATAATTTAATTTTTTTTTTTCATTTTTTAACATACACACATTCAAGTAGTTCATAAAAGGAAAAATATTTTTTCGCAATAATTTTACGTTAGAGTAAATCTGCCTGTTATCTCTTCAATTAAGTTTCTATGAATTTTTTAATCATTTTTTTTTTTTTTTTTTTTTTTTTTTTTTTGTACTAATAAAAAATATCAAAAAATTATTATAATAAATATAATGAGAAAAAGAAAAAAACAATATAAATCACAGAGCAACCACCTTACTTTAGATTATCATTACACATATCATAACATGTTCAACGTCAATTACACACATATTTCAAACTTCTCTTCTTCGAATTGCTTTTTGAATCTTTACAATTTTGTAATTCTATCGTGTCTTTCTAGCATTTGAGTTCATGAATTCCACTACGAAAGTCGTATTCACTTTGGGCTTTTCAAACTACTACGGCTACTTAATAAACTACAGCTCTTTTTCTTTTTGTTTTTGTTGTATTTTGAGGTTATGTGCAATTCCGGGTAATTAAACTTTGAATATAATCTATGGAATCGATTAAGGTTTCACGTTCTATGTATAGCTTGAAGACTACGTCAGATCAAAGACCAGGATTACTTAGAATTAATACTTTATCCGAGACGCTCATTTACAGATTTTATTAACGAAGCAACATATATATATATATATATATATATATGTATATATATATACATACATTTATGTAATAATGGACATAACAAGCCGATAAAATCTATCGGTCTTTTCATCACATATTCGATGATCTTTTTGAATATATATTTCTATAAACATTACTTATGTTGAAATGATGTTATTAGTGGAACTTTAATTGCGGTACCTAGACGCAGCTTCAACATTCATATCGACAAGACTAAAAATTTTGAAATATTTTTTTAAGCTAATCTTATGTTTTTTTAAGCACATAAGCAGATGGTACGAACCATGCAAAAAGTTAACCGAAATCCGATGGTAGGTCTCATTAACATGTCAATAGTGATTTTTTTTTGTAGGCACTGTTGCTTACTAAGGAGCGCCGCTAATTGAATTTCATTTTGAAATCAATAGGTCAACCAACTATATAATAAAATTATTCAGCAAAGACCAAATTGAATTCCATTAGTAATCTGAGTTTGTCGATCGCGAACCTCATTTTCATTAATCATTTTTTTGCAGCTTTGTGGTATGTTATCCAAACCTCAGATCGGAGACATACATTTCTTCCAACTTATCTCAAAGTGGTCAATCAACATGAAGCGTTATTAAGCGTTCGATTATTAAGGAAAAACGATGACTCCAACAGAGCGGACGGCAGGTGTGCAGGAACTGCCCACCAAATTAACAGTCTTGATACCTGGATTGATCAAGTACTAATTAATGATACTATTACAACAAATGTGAACTTCTTCGCTGAAAATGATATAATTCACGGCCAGGTCAGGTCGCGAATTTCAACTTTAGTGAGTATCGGAGATACATCGTATTTATCGATAATGCATCATTTTTAAGGGTCGAACATCTTTGCGGCCACATTACGGCCCATTTCCGAGGCAGATTGGAAGATTTGAGTGTCTCTGACATAGTGACGCAACATGTAACACAGCACACGAAAAAATCGTATTATTGAGCATGACGTTCGATGATAGACGCCTCTTAATGAAAAACTCTATTCGACTCTATTGAAGGATTTTTACGACTTAATAAATGAGTGTTCGTTCTAGCAGTGTAATGTAAAGCTCATGTTAATAAATCTGCCGAAGAATCAAAGGATCAGTCAATAAACGTCAAATATCCACTTGATCCAATCATTTATCTTCTTGCACAACTCAGCAATAATGAAATTGCTTTGCATTAAACGCTTATTACTCATATTAACATTAAAACTCTCGTTCACACTTTCGATCTCTCTGTATGTAAATATGTTCTATTCTGTCTCTTCATATTTAAAGGACTGTAATTTCAAAATGTTTTCCTTTTTTTTGTTTGTTTGTTTATTTATTTGTTTTCTTTACACATTATTTAAGCGCCCGAATTAGTAGAACCCTTACTAAACAATGGGGCAGAATATGATAATGAAGAACCCTTCCAAAATGCAAATAAGGATAAGAATGACACAAATGAGGACAGTAGTTAAAAAAAAAGTACACTTGTTTCTATAATATTTTTTTTTGGTTCTAATAAACATTTTCAAAAAAAAAAAAAATAGAAACAAGTGTACTATTTTTAAAATAATTTTGTAAATAAAATTTTCAATAATTTGCGGCTTTGTTACTTAGTGCAAGGCATTAAAGCCAGTTAATACTTCTTTGTTGTATGAAATCTTATTATATATATATATGATTTTTTCTTTGTGTGGTTATATTATATAAGAGCGATTATTGAAATGCTTGTTATTTATTTATTTATTTATTTATTTATATTTTTTACTTATTTGTTAATAATTTAATTAAATAATAATTTCAGATTTGATTAATTAATTGGTTGACACATTTTTTTCTTAATACTAAAAGCAGATGCATTAAAATAATCTTTTTTTTTTTTTTTTTTTCTTTTTTTGTTTAATATTTTCTTTTTCTTAACAATTATTATTCTTGATTAATTAATTCGGCTACTAACCGTTATTTGCATTTGGTTTTCTTATTTGTTTTATTGTCTTTTAGGTAATTCCAATAGCTTAGCACATTTAGTGGAGAATGAGATACCGTTATCCCATATAGATGTAACACCAGCTCAGCATAGCCAGTCTTTGTCATCTGGATTAAATCAGTCACGTCGCTTTAGGCATCACAAGCATAAATCTCAACAGCACGCAACTGATTCAACTGACGAGTATTTGCAAGATATAGAATTGGCAGACAATGCGATAACGACAAGTGCAACCAACATACATCCAAACATATTAACCATGACAAATAATCAGACATTCGATGATGACGAAGTGGTAGTTGTGGACACTACCGAAGTTGTGGCAGCGGTCTCCGCCATAGCAGCTACAAATAAAGCTCGTGAACGTCATCACCTATCGGGAAGTTATAATAATTTATTTCACGTTGATTTTGACAGTAGTCTCTCTTCGCCTACAACGCCGACGAATACTTCACCCTTGGCAGATTTGTCCGCAACTGCAAATGCGGATTTCTACAAATCATCGTCCCCGGATACTAATTTGATGACAGCCACTCTAATGGCTAGCGGCAATTTACCGGCAAAGTTGCCTCTATCTATATCTCAAACTGAGAATATGTATAGTAATGTACCGCCGGTAAAAACGAATAATGAAGAAGATGCCAATTTGCACGTTTACTCCAATTTAGTCGATGATCGTAAAGCGCAACAACATACAATTAATACAAAAAATCAAGCGAATGTCTCACATTCAGCCAACGTACCCTTAGACTTGCCTTCCACCTTATTATGCGATGAGCTTGATTTAGATGATCCTATGACAGCATCGTTTGTTGCTCAAGGCACTGGTTCAAAAAAACCTCGCAAATATTTAACTAGACATAATTATAACAGCAACGTGCCCGATGTTTTACAAACGCCTGCTAACATTTCCTCAACCGATACCGCAAAATTGAATAGGTCTACACCGCGCGATTTGACCACAAATCGATTGCGTATCCTACACGATACAACAATGATTGATACTGATTTGGATTTAGATAGTTTAGATGACGTCAGCTTAGCTAACAACTCACGAGTGTGCCTGATAAAGTCGCCACCACCACCGCCACCGCCTCCAACTGCTTGATAGTTGAAATCAAAGGCAATTTGTTAAAGACACGAAATCATGTCAACATTTATAACCACCGTTGGTAATGTTTAAGTTAAAAATATTCAGGAATTTCTTTTTAAAATAATTTTATGTAAATATAATCGTTTTATTATTATCATTACTTTTACTTTTATTTATAATGCATTCTCTCATTAATACATAAATAATAATTGCGCATATATATGTAAAATCCCCGATATAAATTTAATTACAAGACACAAAACAATTTCAACTATATTACGTTTAAACATATTTATACATCCAGTTAACTCGCTCCCAGCCACAGACGATTTGGCTCCTGCTGCTTTGTTGCAGACAGTGATAGTTGCCTTACCTTGATTCTCCTCTTACTGAATCTCTTAATATCTTCAACAACGATTTCGACAACACACCTATTGCAACTATTATTATGATCGAATTCATAGCAATTTCATATTTTATCGCGTTTTAATCTATTCCTGTCAGCATCTCACTGTCTCTTTTACTTATGTTTGTTCTTTATAATTGTTTTGTTTTTGTTTGTCAAACAGTGCAACCTGAAAAAGGAGAATTTCGCCATTTCTCCTACGTACAGACATAATTTAATATTTAATTTGGTATTCGGAACGTTTGATATACGGAATTGCATTACAACGTCGAAAAGTCTTTCGGCAAATAGTAACGTGAACGACTCCCCGTTTCACTTGCACAATAACTTAACTAAAGAATGATTTCATTTTTCTTACCATTCCAAAGTTATACACTAATGGCTATATATTCTGAGCAATATTACAGAGACATTACAAGGCAAAAGACTGTGCTTTCTATATGATTTCCGCGTGTTAGTAAACCTGGTTTATATAATAAAATAAGCTAGTATTGCGGCATATTCTTATGACCGTTGTTCCTTCGGAATACAAAGGTTGATGCCAATTAACAAAGCTAAACATTTTATCCCGTTATAATTACTGACCGTAAAACGTTTATTCAAGTTGGTTTGCTGGGAGACAAGAAGTCAAAAGGGAATACAGTACCATAGTTAGCTATATTTTTTCAAAACGATGCTAACTTATGTTACAATACTGGGTAACTTTTAAAAAATTGCCTTTCATATATACCACGAATAAAAAACATGATGTACCAAGAATAAAAATAAGTAAAGACGACATAATTGGGCGAGAGCGACCCATACCTACGTCCATTACTATTTTCAATTTGTCTTTGTGATAGAATACAAAAAAATTTCCCGTCGAGTTGTTTTCATAGAAACACTTATATGAGAGGCGGGCCAAGTTTAACAAAATTAATTTATTTATCAGAGATATTAACATTCTTAATATATATAAATATTTTGATCATAAAGTGCAAAAATTCGACTTTGTTGTCAAACGAAGGCTTACTTTTCATGAGAATCTTTATATGGGCTCAGATTCACAAAAAAATGCAGCTCCCCGGTCCAAATTATAAATCATAAAGTAATTAATGTCAGACTTTATTGCTGTATAAAGGCTGAGTTTCAGCTAGGAATGTTTATATGGCGAAGAGTTAAAAATGGACTCACCAGATCCAAATTTTTCCACTCAATATAACATAGTAAAATTCGGCTACTTAATGATTTTTAGTGGGAAATTTAAAAAATTAAAAAAAATTTTTTTTTTTTTTTGATAAAACAATTGCTTTTTTTAAATAATAGTAAGTTACAAGGGGTTTCTCGCAAAACTAACCCGGTCGAATCTCCCTTGAATTGAGTGCATGCTTGAGATGAAACAATTCAGTATGCCAAACTTCATTGAATTTTCCCAAAATATGGGAACCTGAAGATTGAATACAATTGACAATAGACGGGCGCAAAAGCTAAAATCGATTCAGAAAACGATTGAGGATCGATCCGCATAACAAAAGATGTGCTTATCTTAAGGCTTGTTGTTATAACGAGTCACTTCAAATCTATTTCAAATTACGACTACCATTAGCCTAAAAGTTAATCATAATTATTTATCATATTTAAAACAAGTTTATATTAAGTAATTATTCTCTTAATTTATATATGGGTTTGTAGGCGCGTTCGTTTTATGTCTGCTTTGTCCTTATGCGTATTTACTTAACTGTTATTCAATTTCTTTATCCGGATTTGTATTTCATTGTTTACCGTTGCGAAATGGTCATATCCTCTATCGTCAAATACAAATACCCAATCAGTCTTGGCTAAGACCTTAAAAAACGTCATCACATATTTGTGATAAAATTTCCTGTCAAGGTTTAAATTATGAATAATGTGACTTTGCGTTTTCATTCATTATTATTTAGCATAGTTCAGATGCTTAAACGTTTCATCCTCAATCTGTCCCTTTTGGAGTTGAAATTCATTACTTTTTTTCACAGTGACAATAACCGCTCGAATTGGTTTTCACTTGCTGCCCACATAGTGAGTCTCATTAATATTGGGGTTTTTTTCGCCTGACAAAAAGTAAAGTCTTGTTAAATCTATTCTTTTGTCCAAACATAAAAATTTAGTTTACTATTTTGTACTACTACGGAATATGTATTAAAATATTAAAAAAAAAAAAAAAAAAGCAAACAAAAATTATTCCAATAGACAAAAAAATTAATTAACTTCAATAGCTTAAAAAAAACATTGTGTCGTTAATGTTGACTTTTTTTCTTTCGTATAACGAAGAATATGAAGATCAAAAGCAGCCTACTATTAAAAGTTAATACTTGACGGGGATTCTTTAGATAGTCTACTAACGTTATTTAAACGTTTTAACGTATATTGTACAATTTTTCTTCTGTACGGAGCAGGGATCTTACACCATTCTTCTTATAGCCTATTTTTCAGTTCTTCGACGAAAGAGATTAAATGTTTTCGCACACCGCGGTCCAATTCATCCCACATATTTTTAATGGAGTTCATGCCTGATGAGTGGATAAGAGGGTGAAGCACTTTGTGGTAGTTATGTAAGAACTATGCTTAAATTAAACGAGACTTAGGCTTGAGTTCGTTAGCTTGGTAGAATTTAAATATTTCGAAAATACCAAATCTGTCTGCCCTTTCTTTCAAAGTTTTGCTTCAATATCCTTTAAAGAATCCTCCTTGCTTGCAATGCCATCCATAAGCACCAATTTACCGACTCCATTAGCCCAATGCATATCAAACTGTAACATGATCGTTGACATGCTCGCCGTAAGCTAGTGCAACCAGAACGTAATAGGAAGCTAAGACTGGAATTTGATAGGGAAAACGCCCAAAACTTAGTGGAATTGCGTTACATTTGAAATGAACTTAGAAACCGTGTTTCCCTGCCTTCCTCCTCCTGTCATCCTGTATTCCTTAGCAGTGCAAAACAGTAAAATACATTTTGTTTGTTTGGACAATGGTTAACAAACATTAACCTTTTGTCGGGCGAAAAGCCCCAATACTAATGCGGTTTAGTGCAGTTTTAATTCTTTTTTTTTTGTTTGTATTTGATATGGATTGGACCTTTTAACTTAAATTTAGATCCATAATCCAGTAACTATATAGAAATCCATTGCTGATATTCATAATTTCACGTGATGATGAAATAATGATGCTTTTTTACTAAATTTTTTGAGTTTTTGCTTTCTAGGTTATGTTTAACTCATTGGTGATGAAATTGTTTACGTTAAATTGAGTAACCTGCTGTTAACTTAAATTTATATCCATGATCTAGTAACTTTATAGAAATCCATTGATGATATTCAAAATTTCACGTGATGATGAAATATTGATGCTTTTTTACTAAGATTTTTCAAATTTTTTCCTTTCTAGGTTATGTTTGACTCTTTTCTTTATTTCTTTATTTCAATTGAGTAACACGCTGAAGTTGATTGTGTACACCCCAACGACAGCATGAAGACTGTCAGTTTTAATTCAACCCATATGGCACACAGCGTGCCAGATGTCTTTTCCATCCTTAAACTGAACACTTATCTCCTCGAATTGAATAATGGATTTAATAATGGATTTATGTTGTTGTCTCTATATCTAGCTAGCGCCATAGGCATATACGGGATATGTTTGGATAGTGCTCTTTATTATATTAAGTACCACTTTGGCAGGCGTTCGGCTTAAAAAGTCGAAGGAAGTATGTTGTTTATTTTTAGAATTTTGGTAAGCCAGTTATACTACTATTTTTAGTTTTTCGATTAGTCAGATGAATAGGTTGAACTGTTGCAATTTACGTTTAGAGCAATTATTTTTAAGTAGTATTGTATCCATAGTGTTCAATTTATATAAAATATGTAGGAAGATGTACATATTATATTATCACTTTTTCGGCTACGTCCGCAACGTTCTTCCATGCTTGCGATCGCATTTGTATTTCGTAGAATTTAGGCAATTCATCCGCTTCCTAATAGCGGCGACAAATATGGATTAATAAATTGAGTGATAACAATTCCGATGGGCGTTCCTAGAAAATGGATAGAATTGTTTGATTTTTATTATTTTACATTTTTTTATATATTAATGTATTACTAAAAATTTATGTTTTATGATTTATATACCATACATCAGTTGTGGTACAACGATATATTAAGTTTACGCGGATGGATGCAATGCCCAAAACGACTTCAGATAGATCCATTTTTTATTTCGATGATCGAATCCGATCTAAGCTTGTCTATCCTTCTACCTGCGTGTCTGTCTGTCTGTCTGTCTGTCCATGTTGCATTTTGGCTGTTCAACCCGTAGTTCGCAATTTTTGAGATATTTTGTTTATATCTGGTGCACCAGTGTGTTTTGCCGCAAGAACGTGCCCCATTGAAAATGGTTCGGATCAGAGCACTTTTTCGATCACTTCGCATATAGCGTATTATTTTGAAAAGTCCTTATATGGATAAGCGTATTAAGTGATGTGGTCGGGAGTGTTTAGAGGTAGGTTCTGGCCCAACTTATTGTTTTCACTTGTTTTATTTTGAATTTCACGCGATACTTTCAACAACTTCATAGGCTCACATGCATATAACTCTACAGCAATGAGAGTTGCGAGCGATAACTAAGATTTGCTTCTTATATACTAAGATTTGTATACTAATTACGTACCACCGATAGTAATATATTTGATTTTTTTATAATCAAAAACAGAATATTAAAATGAAAAAAATTAAATCAACG